CTCAGATATACTGTTGCTTGCATATTTTTGGTTGTCAAAAATCAATTATACATCTATTAGTATTATGACAAATCATTCGCCCAATACTATAGTAAATTATACTAAAATATTCAGAAATCTAGTTATCAACACGTTGGAGGATGATGACATGATCATCGGTAGCAAGGATATCATCGTGGAAATCGATAAGAGCAAGTTCAAGAGGAACAAGGACTTCTGGGTGGTTGGTGGTGTGGAAAGAACCAAAGAACAGAAATGCTTCTTTGTTGTAGTTGAAGATAAAAATACAACAACTTTGAGAAGAATTATTAAAAAACATATAAAACTAGAATCAATTGTGTTTACAGATTCGTGGAAAGGATATTAACTTGAAGGTTTAAATCTTACTCACAGAAGGGTAAATCATTCAAGAAATGTGTCTGAATCATTCGGAATACATACAAACACAATTGAGGGAACATGGTCAGGACTAAAAACAATAATTGCTAAAGAAATAGAAATCAAAACAAGATTGAAAAACATTTATTAGAATTCATCTGGCGAAGAAAACATAGAGAGAATATCTGGGAAGCATTTATCAATATTATAAAGAATTATTAATTATTTTAATAAAAATTTATTAATTTTACTCTAAGATATTCCATATTTCAGTTAAACTTTTGTCCAATAAATTAGTTTTGCCTTTATTCTTTTTCAAATTATATTCTGTAAATTTTATCTTTAATTCTTTGATTTTATTTTTCAATTTGCTAATATCTTTTTTGTATTCTTCTATTTCTTTTGTTAAATATACAATTTCTTGGTCTTTGTATAGATAACACATTGCAGATTTTTTCATTGCATTTAACACAAACATTTGGATTATTTTTTAATTTTACACATTTTCTTCTATATTTTCGGCATCTCAAACATGAAGTTTTCAAGGTTTTTGTTTCCTTAGCCATCAGGAAAATTGTTAATTTTTAATAAAATCTTAAGCAACATTCAGGAATTTATATATATTTTTTAAAACTCACAAATTTTTATTAAAAGTTGAGAAAATTTAGTTTCACATATTCAAAAATATGTTACTCATCACGCAAGCCGCATAAAGGTATTCTCTCGTTTGCGTGTTTGAGTTGTTCCTCACAACAAAGTCGACTCAGAAACAACCCAGCTGCCTTTCAAAGTGAGGAAATGGCTAGAGACACTAAGCTCATACGGTAAGCCATACCTTATTGCAGTATTGAAAAATTTTGACTTTTGTAGTTCAGGTACAGCTGCCAAAAGCCTAAATATCAGTGTACCGAGTTGCATCTCTGCGTTATAAGCCTTACAATTTAATCGGTAAATTGTTGTAGTATGCCCCAAGATGTCTAACATTTGAGAGTGCTTTTTACTCATCTATGGTAGAAAAAAGCCTAAACACATACGTTCTCTGAGACGTTTCTCAAGGTGCATTGATTGCAAACACTAAGTTTTTTGTTCGCTCTCGAGGTGGAAAGCCTGGCCAAAACTTAATAACGACCAGCTGAAGCGATAAAGATTTGACCCTTTCACCTGTGTTAACCAGAGAGATGTGAATACGCTTCACCAAACAGATGGTTATCTTATGCATAATTTCGCCGCCACACATCATTTCATCTCTCTCATACGAGACTATGCTTCTCCCTATTCGGATATTAAGATGTGAGTGTTCTCCACCATCTCTCTAATAAAACCACGAACGAAAGGATGAAAACATGAAATTGGGCGCAATCGGTGGATATTTGTAACGTCAATCAACGATGAATCATACCCGATTACGTAATCATGCATGCATCACTATCGGAATGCCAAATCCGGATTACGCCAACCATGCTGATCATTTTTTTTTACGTTCAATCACATGCTTTATTTACAAAAAATTAAATATATAATACAAATATTTACAAAAAAATATTTAAAATACAAGATTATTTTCAGCGTATTCTAGCAGGTCATCATAACTTAAGAAGTAAATATGAGTAAAATTCTTGTTTAAAACTCCTATTGTGTACTCAAAATCCTCCTCATATTGCTTTCTCCTCCAGAGCAATAAATCAAAGGCACCAGCTTTGCTGTAGTACCATATCGCATTGTGAAAGAGATTATAGTAACTACGTATATGTGCATTCAAAAATGAGAAATACATCTTGAATTTCTTATATTTCTCAGTGTCTTCTTTTCTCACATTGTCAACATATTCTTCATATCTTGTGTAAAATTTCAATTCAAGAACAGAGAATTGGCTTTCAAAATCGACTAATAGTGTGGGAATTTCATAAGATTTTTCTTCATTGTTAGTCGACTTTGTAGACCAAGACTCAACTTTTTCGCAGATATCGTCCCAGTTATCTTGTTGTTTGGGGGTTTTCTTAAAGAGTTTTAAGAGTTTTTTAAAGAATTTCATCTTGTATAATTATGTTGTATTTTGTAAAATTCAGAGTGAATTGGAGGTTGTCTCCGTTAAAATTCTTGCCGTTAAATAAACTTTTCCTTTGCAAATCTCACAAATCATCTTTGTCATCATAAAATCTTATTGGTTCTTCTACGTGTTTAATCTGTTTATTTTGGTTTCTTTCAAACTGGTTTCTTTAATCCCATAATTATAAAAAATATATAAAGGCTTTAAAATTATATAGTTAATCTTTGATATTATTTAAGGTGAGAGAGAGTCATAAACTGTATGATTTAATTTTAAAATATTATATTAACTTTCACTTTTACTAACTCGGCGACTTCATGATGTGGTTGTTTCTGACTGGTATTCATAATTGTGATTTATTTACTTAAATCATTTATGTTATAAATCCAGATGCCACTATCAACAATAAAGGATTATTTTAAAAAATAATTTTATTTTATATTTTATTTTATTGCTAATTTCAATGATAAATAATTATGCAAACGTATTGAGGGCTGCGTAGTTTTACATGATTTATCGACGATGTGGGAGGCGATGACCAACGACGTTCGGTCATCAATTAAGGGACCCGCATCACAGATTAATCAACGTAAACAACAAAAACCTCAATACATGCGCATAATTACACAACCACATCATAAGCAATTGCGAGAACAGTAGCAAAGGGGCCGCCGCTCCCGAAGGCGAACACTCAATTGTCAGCAGTTCATTGTTTATTTAGAAACACCTCAACTCAGTCAAATTTGTTTTTAATTTCAATAAATTTTATTAGAAATAAAAGAAAATAAACATAGATTACAGTGTAATTTTTCTCTGTTCATGATGTGTTTGAAACTAAATTTTTAGTTTCAAATACATCATGAACAGAGAAAACTAATTAGAAAACAAACAGCCCAAAGCTATTAATTCTCTTTACAATTCACGTTTCTTAATCTTAGTCGCCAGCAGTTCATCTGCAATTTTATATACATTTTCAACTGCTCTATCAACATTCTCATTATACGTATCTATTCTAAAGTTTGTTTCAATTTCTCGACTAAGAAGTTCAATGTTCAAATAATATATATTTTGAGTATAATAAATATATATGCCAAAGCAAATAAACAAAATAAAATAAATAAAAATAAAATAAAAATAATGTTCTTATAGAACAAATTAGTTTTTTTAAAACTAATAAAGGTTTCATTTGTTCTTTCAAGAGAACGGATTCTTCTATCACGTTCTCCAAATTCTCTCGTCAATCTTTGTGACAAAGCATCTGTGTCATAATAAACTGTATCTAAAAAATAATTAAATTATTTAATAAAATAATAATAAAATAATAAATTAATTAAGTAAAAATAAACCTTCAGAACTTGCAACTTCTTCCAAAGTTATTGTTTCAATTTGTTCGACAATAGGTTGAAAAGCCATGTTAGATTTATTTTTTGTTGTAAAAATTGCAATAATTTTGAGATAGAAATAAGTAAAAATTGCTAGTTTTTAACCTTGTGGAGAAGTGTTAGCAACTGCCTTTTCGTAGGTTGGTGGATTATCTGGTTGACTGTTGATCTCAACATTTAGAGATGAAGATCTAGTCAAAATTGTAATTTGTTCTGGATTTTCCATATTGTATTCGATAATGTACTGTAAAATGATGGGTGTGGAAATGATAAGAAAAAATACGGTTAAGAACATATAAATCTTGAAAATTTTGTAAAAATTTTGTAAAAAAATTTAGATTTGTATAGTTTGAAAGTAGTATTTTTTATAACAAATCATGCTTGTTATCAGTAGATCATAATTAAAACATATTAGGGTATTGTTTGTCGTTCCAAAACAAGATTGAATGGAGAGATTGGATGACCGCATCATCACATATGTTTATCGGATAACAGTATCAATTAACTAAATCCAGACTCATTCTATTGGATTATTTTTATTCGTTTTCTTTGTTGATCAGATAAGAACAAACCAAATTTAGACTCATTCTGATTAGTTATCATGTAAATTGTCTTATTAGAATCTGATTTTTATTTATAAAAATGTCTGATAATTCTGGTAAATTCTTTAAAATTACAATCTAGTTCTGCAACGCAGAACACTGTCTGAGAGCAGGGTAACAACGGGAGCAAATGTTAATTTGCGGACCCAAAAAAAACACATGAAATGTATTTTTTTAGTGTTACCCTGCTCTCAGACAGTGTTCCAAATATATAATAGTATTAAAATAAAAAATCACTTATTTATAACCAGGCTGCCAAAACTCTTCAACTTGAACTAGTAAATTTTAAGAAGGTTGATTAGAAAATAAATT